GAAACACCTCTAATTCTTGCCTAGCCCAGTGAGCAACTTATTTTATGAGGGGAAAAAAATACTGGATTTCCTTTTTATTAATTTTCATGAAATCCAGGAAACAGTCCTATGGAATGTTGGATATTTGGTTCTTATTTACCATGAGAAAGCCACTTTAGGCACCACGCACACACCCCTCACTTGTGAAGGTAAACTATCATTACTGAAGGAGCCCTAATCTATATTTTAGAAATCAGCTCAGGATATTCATAAACAGAAAAGAGAAACTTTCTGGCTCTTTTCCACCCACAGCTATGCCTGCTCAACAGATTCTAGCCTTTTCTGAGCAGAAAAGCACCCCAAACTGGAAGATGGCATCTGAGCTCATCTTGCCTGAGTCCCAGGTGAGCTGTATTTTCCAGCTTTTTCAGGCAGCCTGATTGTGACCTTGTCTGTGTTTTTCTTTGCTGCCCAAGACCCACAGTGCCCAGCAGGTGCTCTGAGCCACGTTAGCCCTAGATGTCCTCTAGGCACCTAGGCTTGGCACAGTGGGAATTGGGCACCTCCCAAGCTTGTTTAATGGTCTCTTTGCTTCCTTCCTTTGCTACCATCTCACTTTTTCCCCTAAGTCTTACACACTTCAGTGATTGGCCTGCTGTGTAATTCAGAAATGAGTGATAGGACAACTTCTGTAGTGGCAAGTACTGAACTAAAACCCATTCTCTTTAGAGTTTGTTGACATTTGAAGATGTGGCCATATCTTTTTCCGAGGAGGAATGGAAATTGATGGACCCTGCTCAGAAGATGCTCTACAGTGATGTAATGCAGGAAAACTATGAGGCTGTCATCTCTCTAGGTAAAGATACTTCCTTTCCTTTGTGTAGAAGTTGAATAATCTGTTATGTCCTCAGTTTATGGAAAATGCACTCCTGCGAGAGTTCCAGTGTTTCAGTAGCTGGTTGATTCTCAACTTGATGGTGTGGGGAAAAAGAAAGGCATATCTAGATCACCTAGAGAGCTTCTTACAAATACACATCTCACGTCTTTATTCTAAATAGAATTCTTGTTATATCATACTCCCACCTCACCCTGCAAACCTGCTCCTCTCATATTCTTTCTATCTCAGTAAAGGGCACCACAATTCACCCTGTTGCTCAAGCCAAAAACCTTACAGTTACTCATTATTCCAGTCTTTCTGTTATACCCCACAACTGATCCATTAGCAAGTTTTCAGAATAGATTGTGAATACAATCATGTCTCCACCTCTTCCACTCTTATCCTAGTCTAAGCCACCATTATCTCTGATTAAGTCTCTTCAATAGCACTGGATTCCCATTCCCCATATTGTGTAGATCGATCCTCCTTAAGTTTAATTCTTAGCTTACTTATTGGATATTCACCCACAATCACAGTAGAACATAAAAAAAGATATTGAATCTAAATTTCTGCCTATTTAAACATTTAGAGTAAATGAAAGTAAAAAAGTCCTTGACTATTCCTGAAAATAGTCTGGAATTAACATGGCAGTCCATGACCTTAAGGTTTTATTCTCAGAACATTATTGTTGGGTTTTAAACTTAAAGTGATCTGTTAGAACAAGGGGAAGAACCATAGATCCAAGGTCCCCAAGAGTTCAAGGACAGTCTTGGAGAGCTCTACAGGTAAGTATATTCATTAGAAGAGAAGAAATTTTCCTTGATAGGAGCCTTAACAGGGGCTTAACATTTTTAAGATTCTGTTCCTGTATTTTAATTGAACTTTTTATTGACGTATTTGTGGACTTCGCTTGCAGATTTCAAATGTAGTACAAAGAAAACCCATGAAACTACCCAGTTTCCCTCAATAATAACTTTTGCAAAAGTAATATATGGTATCATAACCAAGATATTGATATAATCCACTGACCTTATTTATATTTCCTGCTTTACTTGTTTATGTGTGTGTGTTTAGTTCTGCAAAGATTTATCACATGTGTAGGTTTGTGTATTAACTCCCACAATCAAGATGCTAGACAGGAACATTACTACAAGGATTCCTTCTATTGCCCTTTTATAACCATACACACTTTTCCCCCCATACCCTACCACATCACCAACCCATGCCAACCACTTATCGGGTCTACATTTATAAAATTTCGCCATTTCAATAATGTTATATAAATAGAATATAAGGTATGTAACCTTTTAGGATGAACTTTTTTCATTCAGAATTATTCCCAAGAAATTCATCGACGTTGATGTGTGTGTCAGTAATTCACTCCTTTTTACTGCTGAGTAGCATTTCATAGTATTGATATTCCACCATTTGTTTAACCATTCACCCATTGAAAGATCTTTGCTATCTTCAGTTGTTGGTTATTGTGAATAAAACTGCCATAAACATTCATATACAGGGTTTTATGTAGAGATCAGTTTTCATTTCTCTGGGATAAATGCCTTAAGAGTGCAATTGCAGGTTCATATGCTAATTACATGTTTAATTTTATAAGAACCTGCCAGACTATTTTCCATAGTGGCTGTACCATTTTATATTCTTACTAGCAATAGGTGAGTGATCCAGTTTCCCCACACCTTGCCAGTGTTTAGTATTGTCATCATTTTTTTTTCTGCCATTCTGATAGCTATGTAGTGTTATCTTTTTGTGGTTTGGATTTCCATTTCCCTAATGAATAATGACGTTTTGTAGCTTTTTCATGTGCTTATTCGTAATATCTATATTCTCTTCATTGAAATGACTTTTGCCCATATTTTAATTGAATTGTTTTTTAAATGTTGAGTTTTGAGAGTTCTTTATATGTTCAGGTAACAGAATTTGCAAATATTTTCTCCAGCTCTGTATATCGTACTTTTTTTTTTTTTGGTCTTTTTTTTATATAATTAATTTATTTTATCGTGACATTGCTTAATGAAATCCAGTAAGTTTCAGCTGTACATTTTAACAATAAGGCGCGCGCGCGCGCGCACACACACACACACACACACACACACTCTCTGTGTGTTCACCTCCCATAATTAGATTTCTTTCTGTCACCACATATTTGACTCCTTTTACCCCATCTACCACCCCCTCCCCCCACTCTCTTATAACCACTAGCCTATTGTCCATGTCCGTGAGTCTGTGTTTGTTTGTCCTATTCATTTGTTGCTTTTAGGTTTATATCCCACATATAAATGATATCACGTAGTTTTCAACTTTTTCTGTCTGCTTTATTTCGTTTAGCCTGATTATCTCGAGGTCCATCCATGTTGTCGCAAATGGCAGAATCTGAAAATTTTTTTGAGGATGGTATTAGCTGCATACAACTTTAGATTTATAATCAAACTAATGAATCAAATCTTTTAGTATTTTCAAGTGCTGACTTTATCACGTGCAATAACAGTGTTTGCTTTGAAGTCTCTATTTCTTGATATTAATAATGTTATGCCAAGCTTTTGTTTTGTTTTGTTTTGTTTTGTTGCTTTATGTTTTTATGGCATATGATTTTCCATTCTATTAATTTTAACAATTTAGTATCTTTTTTATTAGTTGGTTTATTGTAAATAGCAGATAGTTAGACTTTTAAAAAATCTATGTGAAAATATCATTTATCTAGAGTTTTCATATTTTATTGTATTATTGATGTACTTGAATTTAAATATATCATCTCGTTTTGTGCTTTTTTTTTTTTTCTGTCCCATATTTCCATTAGTTGTCAGCCCCACTTGGACAGTCATAGCTGCAGAGAGCAGCCTGGCCTAAAATC